GTTCTTTTAATGATACAACGTCGTAGTGCTTATTATTCATAACTTATCTTATACATAATCATATTAAATAAGTCCAGCGTATCAGTACCCTCGTTAGGATGCTTTTAGCGACAGCTGCAAATACAAATGAAGTTTTAGAATATGCAAAATTTGGGTGTTGGTGAAACAATTTAAATTTCGAGTTGTCGCGTGTAGCATCACAATAAATAAATAAATTGTATCAGTTCCACGAGGCACGTTTCTGATCTGTTAGGCTTGTTTCAAACGTGGCGCTACTCATGTGCCGAACGCATTATAAAGTAGATAATGAGATGAAATGCCTTTGGTAACTGTTTATTTCGTAGTGTAAGCCATCAGCCTTTCTAGGTTGTCGGCAACCCTATATAATTGTTGCAGTGTCTTTTTCAATTCGAAACTTCACACTATCCTTGGATCCCTAGTTGACAACACGGACGTCGAGCGGAAGTAAAGTTGACGTTTTTCACCAATCACAGCCCTTGACCCAGTCTTCTGACGTTACTCATGCCGTTCGTGTTGTCAAAAACGTCACTTGCTTAAGCTCACTATTGAGCGATGTGACCTACGGTATAATCAGTAGATCAGTAGTGGCGTAGGAACAGGTTTTATTCGAGGGAAGACTAATTTTCAGCCAAGTTGAGGAACGCGCACTTTCCGGCTGGGTGCAAACACGGCCCGCGAAACATGATCCACTGTAAAGGCAATAGTGTAGGAAGGTATTTGCCATTTGGGCAGCAAACTGACAAGAATCTTCATATTACTGTCTTACTCTGATCGTTTTGGTTGGCTTAGGGCTCCACCTTTACTTCTGGGCTGGCTATAACCCCCCTTCTCCTCTAGTCTCCCGCCCCCCGTTCTCCGCTTGATAATCGAACACACAGATACAAACACAGATGAAAATATTACCTCTTGGCGGAGGTTACGAAGGCAAGAGAAAGTTAGCTATTAAATAGTTTGAAGCTTTTCTCAAAGTGAATTGCACCTACCTGCAGGGACAACAATCTTCACATGACATTTTAGATTAAACTTGTTTGCCACTCTGTACTTGTATGTGACAATACTTTCACCAGCAGAAAACCGTCCACTGGGCTTACTAGGATTGCTTGGGCTTGGCTGGGCCGGGCAATTGGGTTCAGGTTCGGTCCAACTGACATAGTATTTTCCGTCCACACCGGGTGAACCTGTCGGTCGTACTGTTTGGATACTGGGACATCCACAGGCTAAATGAAGAAATTAAATTATTTGTCAACTGTCACCCACCAAATTGCATGAATGGCCATAGCTAGAGTTTATAGTGGGAATTGCGCGAGGAACAAATAGGCTCTTTGCAGTTAACTAAAAATAGTCGAGAATAATAGGTGACTCGAAAGCACGGAAAGCCGTAGGATTTTTCAATAATGGGGTAAGACAAAGCACAATGTTTTTCTTGCCCTCCAGATATTGTTATGCAAAGGATTTTTAGGCTAGCTTCTAAAGTGTCTATATTACATTTTTAATGGCGCACTGCATATAAATTTCAAAGAGTTGAATCATGATCGATTGCCAACAATTGCAAGTCCCGAATGTATGATCGCATGTCAATTGGCTACATTGAAATTTTCCTATAGCAATACTGCCGTGACAAATTTAGCGACAATAAAATAAATATTAACAATTAAAGCTCTCAGTCGCCCTGAATGAACAAAACACCCGAATTTAGTGATAAAACTATTCCTACATCACTACATCTGATCCATTTTCTGCTGAATTTAATTAATGCAATGCCCATGGCGATTATAAAAGGTAGAGTGCGGCAAATAACGCTCTCTGATTGGCTAAAATCTTGTTCTCATGTAAATTCTCATTCCCGGATGGAAAGCCGCGATGTACCGATGTTTAGGAAGAGCGAGAAATTACGAAAATAATACAACTTTGAAAACATTCTTGCATAGCTTAAGTACGGATTAAAGGCCTAAATTCAACAAGAATACCTGGACGTCTTTTAATACACAATAAGTCTTGGAACGGTAGGAATGTTTTAAAGTAGTTTTTGTCGATGTTGAAGAGTGGTGTTTTCTTTGTGATCTCAGCTGTCCTAATTTTTCATCATTTTCAACGATATAAAACGGAAATTTCTCACTTTTTTGCCACAAATAAATGTAAAACAAGTCAGGACTGTTGATCAAATCAGGATTGAATACTTGAATTGTAGCCAAAAGGTGAAAACTTGACTTTCTTGGTTTACTTCCGGGTATATAAACTCAAATTTGCCTCCATTAATAGCAAGCTGCAATTTGTCCCTTTCGTCTGCCTGAAATTATCCTGTAATGCCCATGCACTCTATTCGTTTATCGTCTCTATGTCAATTTGTTCGTTTCGTTTGATTGAATCTGTCCCGCAATACTCCCCCTTTTATAATCTCGATGCGAATTGCAAGATACTGATTAAAAAGTTGTAAAAGATCTTTAGTTATTATCACTTACTAACAACAGTGAAGTGAAGAGGGCATTTGAGATCTACACTCTTTCCAGCATGGTTAGTGTACGAGCTCGAGTAAGTAATCACGTGTTTGCCTGGGCCAAATCTATCTCCAGAGTTAACATTAGGTGGATCCACGGTATAAGAGGCACCCCCGGTGCATGTTATTGGGATTACCCAATCGACCTGGGTTGTGATTTCTCCTTTCTTCATATAAGCGGTAAATGTTCCACCACTATCGCCTTTGCAGAAGCATTGGCCTAGAGATAAAAGAAAAATGATACTCACGTTAAAGCGAAATAGCAATGAAAGTATAATATATTTCAATATATTTCAAAAGCTTCTTACAGGTTTTCTTTATTCTTCGTGGTTTAAAAAATATTCGCCATCTTGGATATGCATAACTCTGGTAGGCTACGTGTGACGTTACAACAAGGGACCATTAATTTGTATCTTGAGGATATTCTCGAGTTATTTTAATGCTTAATCCTATTTTCTAACTATTGTCGATTTTAAATTAAAGGATAAGCTATGAATAAGCTTTTTAACGATATTATTTCAGATTTCAAATGTCTGGCCTGTATAGCGTTATAAGAACGTAAAGATGCTGGGAAAACTAAAAAAAACTTTATGAGGTTCCGCAGCGGTACTGTCGAAAACACCATCCTCATGGATATGCCACATTGCTCATTGCAGTGGACCTAAACAGTCCCGTTGACCTTGGGACGATGATGCGAAGGCCCAAGATCGAGTGCCAAAGACTCCTGTCTTTGGCACTCGATATACTTGTGCCTATGGGGGTATGCGGACATGCTGTCCCGGAAAATTGTGAAATTTAGAGCCTCTGTATGAAACGCCATTCCGTACACTTTGGGGGAAGATATTACCTGTGATGGTCAAAAAAACGACATATATTAGAATAGCATTACAATTTGCTCAAATTTAGACTGATAGGTTTTTTGTTTTTATCGTCAACATGATTTGAATGTATTTTTGCCCAACAAATTATTGAATATCTGATAAATTTACCCTACAAAATTTCGACCGCTGCAGCACTTACCTGGTCTTGGTTTGCACAAAGGATTAAATATCTTATTCACTAGTTTGTCCACATCTTTGTCCAACGTCTCCAACGACGTTTCTGCTACTTCGCTTGAGTCTGTTACCCAACTTTCAATGTCCTTTTTGAACGTTTTAATCAGCTTGGGTGTTCCGGCTGCCACACCGACAATTGTAACGTTCTTCTCCTTCAGTTTATTTGTTTCAGTAACAACCATTGCTTTCTCCACTGCACTTCCTTTTGGGCTCCGTGGTTGTCCGTCAGTGAACAACAATATAACATCCTGTACTGTATCGCGGGCATTTAAAGGACTTGCTTGACTAAACATCTTTAAAAACAAGTTGATTAAGAGGTGATTTATTTGTATGTCTCTAACAATTGATTGGCTAGTTGAATTTTACAATTTAGTTTGATTGATTGGCTAAAGTCAGCATTTCGATATGATTGGTTCAAAATGACTATGCGTGCTGTCTAACTTCAAAATGGTGCGAGTTGGAAAGTTGCGAGAAACACCATGCACGCATGCATGGTTTTAAAATGTCAATCTTTTGTCTTTGGCTCATGTTGTATCTATATATTACAAAATAATGTAATATAGAGTATATTTCAGTCGTCGTTTCAGTATGCAGAAAGTTGCTCAAAGAACATGCAATTGGTTGTGACACGATTGATTTGTGTACCGTTCTTCATTTTGCCTTAATTAAAAGGCGGATTTCCAGTCCTCGCACGAAGCTCCTCGCAGCTAGCTGCGAGTGCATGTATGGGCACCTTCATCCAATCACAATGCTTAACAGTTAATTTTAATTAGATGCAAGCACTCGTAGCGAGCATGCGAGGAGCTTCGTGCGAGGACTGGAAAACCGCCTTTACACTGAAGGGTTGAGTGAAATTGATTGACTTGTTTTGAGATTGTTTTGAAATTTGTTTTGATACAGTAATGCAGTGGAACTGTTCAATATGGGAAATGATATTGATATTTTGGTGAAGATTGGTTTGTGGTTCAGCAAAATCAGCAATGCATTGATAAACTAAGATCATTTCTAAACTAAGTGATTCAGGGTGATATTTTGGTGATGATTGCTTTGTGGTTCAGTGATGCATTGACAAAACTAAGATCATTTCGTATATAATAATATACATAAAGATATTACTCGACTGTGATTGGTTGATTTGAGTGCTGTTAATCCCAAACAGCAGTGCAATTTTCTGTAATCACAGTGCAATTTTCTGTAATCACAGTGCAAATTTTTGTAATCACAGTACAATTTTCTGTATTCACAGTGCAAAAGTCTGTAACAAACTGATCTGATTGGTGGAAAATCAGTTTAAAGCAATTTAGTTCAAAGAAGTAACGGTCACGGGCGGGTCACAGATTGCTTCAAAACAAATTAAACAAACATGGCGGCGCGCTACACAAAGTAAATTAAAGCTGCCTTCGTTTGGAAAATATGGCTTTTATCTTTATTTTTAAATGGAAAAGCATTTCCCTTAAACAAAACTAACAAAAATTACATAGTTGAGTAGTCAATTACAAAGTCAAACTGTTAGCGCTGTAAGATGTAATATAACAAGGCCAAGGGAAAACTTTGCCAGTGCCCAGTGGAATGTTCGCTATAAATGCGTAAGTTAATAAAACTACAATTGTCTCGAACATTTTTATGTAAATTATTAATAAGTAATAGCATGGTTTCTCGTGAAATTTGGATAAACATGCACTCGTGAGTTTTTAAAAGACCTCAAATAGCACTCATCCTTCGGACCCGTGCTATTTTGAGGTCTTTGAAAAACTCACGAGTGCATGTTACATCCAAATTGCACTCGAAACCATGCTATTACCTATACTTATAATATTGACCGATAGCCGGCCGAAGGTCATGGTTTCAACAACAAACAAAGATAGCCATTTATTTTCAACAAAATAACAATTCTGAGTTTGATTTCTTCTTTTCGGGCAAATATTTATTAATTTGAGAATGATTTCAGTTTGTAATTTATAGTAGCAATCGGCGAGTCAGAATATTATTAAAAAAGCATGTTTTACGCAATACACACCCCGGCAATTGTTTCTCCATTTTTTAATAAATTAAGAATTTCTAGTGTTCCGGTGTTACGTGTTCCGGAATGATGCCGTTAGTTCTGGTGGTCCGTGTTCCGGTATTCCTGGTTTTACTAATAGCCTAATAACTTAGACAACCTTCCCTTTGTTAGGTATTTCAATCAACAATGAGATTGTTACCTGCATGCAGCGCCAGTAACATTAATTAATTATTTGGTTGTCCAAATAAGTTCCTAATAAAAGCATTTCGAGGTTCTGCGTGTATCCTCTCTACGCTCTATCCACGTTGGACCAGAAACCCTACAATTAGAAATTAAGAACTTACTGTCGCGAATATAATTTCGTCTGACCCGAATCCTTCCATCCTTCACTGGATGACTGGGGGATTTAACCTAGTGGAAGAGAAACTATAATATCACTATCTTTGAAAAGCAGAGAGTTTTAAAAGATTTAACCTCATAAATTGCGACAGAATTTCGTGCCATATGAAGCTGCATCAAACTGTTTTGAATTGGCTATTTCCTAAAGCAACTTGGTTTGGATTTATCCCTCGCCTAAATCGGCGAAGCCTTAAAATAAACCAAAGTGAAGCCACAAAGCATAATTTGTGGCGTAAAGTTGGTAATCTCTGTTTTGATGTACCAGTTAATGTAAATCCAAGTTTTCGTGTGTTACAATTAGCCTTTTCCCAAAGAGATGAAAGTGAATCCTGGGATTGTTTAGAGGGGCAAAAAGATGGTGGCAGGCGTTAAATATGTGAAAAAGTAGAAGGATCTACTATCAAATAACAACTTTCTAT